TTTTTTCATTTTTTTTTAAATTTTACAGAACCATTTAAAAAGAGTAAGCACCTATCTGCGATTACCTCATTCACTCGTGAGAAAAATTTGAGACGTTATTTCGACTGACTATCTTCGGAAAGAGCTAAGGTTTATCTTATGCGGGTGCATTACGCTTGTGAGTGCATCGTTGATCTCGCAAAGTCAGTGTGCCGGAATAAGCAGCTCTTTTCTTTTTTTTTTAGGACCGCGCGCGAATGTATCGTTTTCTGTGCTCGAAAGGCCGCGCTTCTGGCTGTCCCAGCTGAAGTCACTTAATACGTTTCGAGGAGGGATTAGGTGTCGTGTTTCGTCGGTTCTAACCGTATAATATAGGCTTGCAGAGTAGCGGAACATCTGCTCCCGAGCCATGGGCCCTCGACTTCGGTCCCTCTGAGAGACTCGAGGTCTCGACTTCTCGAGACAGAAGAGGCCGCTGGGGAGAGAACTGAGTGGAGATTGGAAATACCAAGAGAATGAACGAGGGAGAGAGAGAAAGAGAGGATTATTCTGCGCGGGCGCTTAAACGGGTTGCGAATGTGTGCGAGTATCGGTCACGACGAAAATAGACACAGGAATGACATTGTGGTGGGTTAATTCAATACGTACCGCTACAGCTAACGCGATTCAGTTGTCAAGAAATCAATTGTCAAGAGTTTTTAAATAAGTATTCAATAGTACTTGGTATTAAAATGTCATATTCATGCACGTTCGAAAGTACTGAATTAAACCTTGACCTGTCCGGATAACATAAACTGACAAAAACGTCGCATATGTGATTTCTGAATTTTTAATTTGCTTAGAAAACACGTCATAAATTATATTGAATTTAAAATATTATAAACGCAATAATCTAATGTGAATTTTAGATAAATTTAAAGCTAACTATATTTAATTATATTTAATCCAAATTTCGCAAACGCTTTTAAACGCTCTTGTATTATTTGATCGAATAAATATTCATTCGTTGTTCAATTAATAATTAATAATTAAGATATCGGTGTTCGATTAATTTAGAAATCTATAAATGCAAATAATTAATATCAATAATTTCTATGGGATATAGTAATTTAATGCTCAATTAAGAATTTAATTTCGTGTTTATTAGTTAAATAGATATCGAAGCTTAATGAATTAAACAGATGACTGCATATTTTTTAGAAAAAAACTTAATATGCTTTTTCTTAACATACATAATTTTATAATGTAAACTTTTTCAGAGCGAGCTGCTGTAAGCTGCTCTCGTTTTATTGATAATTATAAGAGTTTAAGAGTTTTGACTTGATTTAAGCGAACAAATATTACATCGAAGATCATAACTTCCGAAACTTTTGCTTACGAAGAATTTGATCCTATCGTCGATTGGTGATCTCAAAATTCGTTCGCGTGTTTGTGGTGGCTGCTTGTTTCAAATTTGAATTGGACCCTTGTATACGCGTATCGCTGTATCAAGAGATTGCAAACTCTTGCGACCTGTATTGCGGGCGGTTGCCGGAGGATGCGGGACCCGGTACGTTGTTAGAAACAGTTGCTGCACGGTGTGGATTGAGTTCTTGAAAACACTCTGCGGTATTGTCTTGTTGCGAGTACGCGGTTTCCGCACAAAGACACTTGGCAGCTCGCGTCGTTGCACGATGGAACGAACGTGAAATTTGTTATCATTTCGTGTGATTGCGAGAAATTTGCATACCATTAACGCAACAGTTGGTGAAATAGCGGAATGAGTTGCTCTTAGACGCCCTTACAACATCTGCTTGTGACAACGTAAAAGAATAACAATTAGAGAAGAGAAGGCGGATAAAAGTAAAAGAAGCAGCGCAACATGCGTATTAGATGGAACTGATCAAAATAATTTTCAGAGACGAGACGCACGCGGACTTCCGACGCGGAAGAATTTTGTAGATTGGTGCAATTATATTGTGAGTTGAGATTAATTTACGCGTAGCCGAAAAAATATTATTTAAATATACTCTAAAAGTCAAATGCATATATTTTCCTACCTTTATTTATTCTCGTAAAAGAATTAATGTTGGTTCATTTTTTACAAAAAAGTGATATAAGCTTTTGCACAATAATTTCTTTTGTTATCTCTTTTTTTATTCAACAAAACATTGCAAATGTTTCAAAGAAATAATTACATTATCCTATTTTTAATTAATTATGTGTCAGGTTAATTACGCTTGAATTATTATAGCATTTAAAAACACGTTTTGAATAATTTGCACACTACTAATTGCATTTTGACTCTTATCATTATTTTTCATTTGTTATTATCTGTAATTATCACTCAAATTATCAATCGACAAAATTTTCGATTATGTGATAGCTTATATTACGTTTGATTCGCTGATATTAAAATTTTTTATCTACTGACATTTTTCGCATGTTTTATCCAGCAGAAGATAACTGTCAGATATAAAGTCTCTGTGTCTTATTTCGCATGATATTAGAGCACGGAGGTAATATTGCGTCCAATATTGCCGTTCGCGTTACAACCGCCCTACATCATAAAGACAGTTATGTTCGCACATTTCTTTTTTCGGTACGGCCGTCGGAGCGGTTTCAAACTTAAACGAGCCGCGGCTGACCTCACATCCGGTTCTCTTGGGGCGTGAATAGAATCAAATGGAACGGAGGGTTACTAAATGACAATGGTCAACTCGTACGCGCCGGTTCTTATTTCCGGTACACGCGGACATTGTTCATCGCATCCTGCGCAGTATATGACAACCAAAGGAGCGTTGCCCGTCATATCTTTATCGCACAGTTCGATTACTTTGAACAACGACATTTTCTTAAAGCACATTTAATCGAGATACGATTTTTATCGTATCAAATAATTTAATTTTAATTAAAATTTTTCTAATTTAGATTTTCACAACCCGCATTTACTTCACATTACTCTCAATCAAATCGTTTTATTTCAATTGAATTTCGAAAGGGATAAAATGACAAACAAAAAAATGTTAATATTTGTTTTTTTATAATTATTCACATTATACATTATAAATGTAATATCTCTTCTGTAATAAATATAAAATATAAAATGCTAACATATATATCTTTCTCTAATTTTATTTTGTATTCAATTCTCTTTCAATTTCAATTGAAATATAAGTGAGACAAAATATTAATAATAAGCTTATAAAATGTGAAAACATTATCATTCATATTGTTCAATTTGCACTGTTATACACGCGGCTTTATCTTTATCTTTAGAATTACGTTGTTTCCTCTTTTCTGGAGTATTATCATAATTCTGAAATTGTAAGCGCTTCGTGCAATGCGGATTTTATACGAATGATAACAATAGTGCTACCGTAATTGAATATAAAGCGCAAGATTAAGATAGTCGCATTTCGAAAAGATATATGAGATCGTATTAGATTCCACGAGAGCCGTCCACTATTTATATCATATTACGTGTAGTAGCATTAAAATAAAATTTATCGTGATAAGAAAATTTTTTTAAATACAATTAATAAGGTTTTTTAAGGATATTATTATCTATTTTAAATAAAATAAATCAACATACCATTTTTGCGATCGAGTGAGTGAGATTAAAAAATAAATTACGTAGATATATATTGTAATATTATACATATGTTACTGTTTAATTCGTCAACCAAAAAAAAAAAACTTTTTCAACATCTATATTTTTCAAATTACAACAAATCAACATTAATATAAATTTTATTTCGAATTTTATCAATTAATATTTTCCTAATGTCTCTTTAAATTTCTCAACTTTAAGGCTGGATTGTTGATCTTTTGATAAATTTCAGCTTATTCTCTAACTCTCTTACTCTTTTATGCTCTTACTCTTTTATTTATTCATTATAAAGATAAATTATCACGTAGTTTATCCAAAATGGAACAAAATCGGCCCTCAAATAAAGTAAGTTTTATTTATTTTGAATTTTATTAATTAATATTTTTCTAATATATCTCTTTTTCAAGAATTAAATGTGCACTTGTTGTGAAGCACTCGATACCCTTCACAACAAGCTATGTGAGGAAGTGACTGTATTAAATGCACGTTACGGTTATGTATAGGCAGTGTTCGATCGAAAATAAAATTAAGGTTAATTTGCTGCGTTGCTTCCGATACGTAACACGGATCATGAGCTTTTGTGCGAGGCACGTTAATGACGTTATATGAGGGCTTTCTCACGTTGCGGCCGACGTGCGTGTAATTGCACGCGAATATATAAATGTCGTCATAGAGTTACAGGATGTGCGCGTAAATTGTCCACGCGTAATGAATTTACGGCTCTGTCTGTTCAAATTCCAAATGCAATGATTGAAAATGCATCCAAAATCACTGGAACCGCTTAAACACAGGCATTAGCCATCATGGCCTCATTATCGTTATGTTAATTCATCTGTTTCAATGAATTCACAGACACATATTTGTCACATATACAAAATGTTACAAATAGCGTATCTAGCGGACCTTATAGTCTACCTATTCTTCATCAAAAGATTTATCCATTAATCCAGATTAGACAGACTTTCCTCATTAACAAATATATTAATTGAAATAATAATTATATAATAATAATAAATTCATATTCATAATTATATAATATTTAAGTAATAAAATAAGTTAATTAAACGTAACATATTCTTGTAATATTTATTAATATCAAAATAAAAATCTATTTCAACCATTAATTTTATTATTAGTTTAAATCAATATCAAATATATTTTCTATCAAATATATTATGCATGGCATATTGTTAAATAATTTGTTTCTTAAATTGAATTAAATTAAATTAAATTTTTAAATTAAAAAAAAATGCGAAAAAACTTTTAAATTAAATGACACATTCTAATATTATTAATTTTTTATTATTCTTCTATCCGCATCTTCTTCATAAAAACTTTACAGTATTTTATTTTTCGAGCGTAGTTTTTATGTTTATTTATTATGTTTCATTTTGTTTGACTAACAATTTTCTCTGTAATCTCTTTTCAGTTGACATCGACACTGATGCTCTAGTAAAGGTACCTGGCGTACTAAGAGAAAGAGAGAAAGAGTGAGAGAGAGAGAGAGAGAGAGGATAGAGAGTGGGAGAGCAGTACAAACAGAGCAGGATGTTGCGTGCACAAGTCATCGTCTTCCTGGCAATTACTTCCGTCATCTATGCCAAGGTAGCCGTGTTGCCGCACGATGTCTACCCCGGTTACGAGGTGACGCAATTCCGGCGCGACGCAAGTCGCGCTTCCAATTTCCGTCTTCTGGAGACCGGTTTCTCCAAGTACTTCACTGTGCTGGGTAACGGCCTGGTGATGACGACGTCAGACCTGACGCCGCTGGTGGATCGCTCCGTGAACCTGATCGTTCTGGAGGAACTGGCCAACGGCACGCAGACCCACGACCTTCACCTCTACGTCATCAATCGCCGAAACATGCTGACCTTCTCGCATGACCGTCTGGGTGAGGGTGAAGTACCGGAGAATTCACCGGTAGGAACAAGGATAGACGGCTTTCCAGTTCTGCGGGCACGCGGCAGTTTTCCGGTTCACTATAAGATCCTGCCGGATAATAATGGGGAACGTCCCTTTGCTCTGCGAGAGACTGAATCCAATGATACCGGCTTCAATCTCACCCTGAAGAACCAGATGCAGGGCGTCAGAGTGGTCACTGCGAAACCTCTAGATCGCGAGATTCACGGTATCTATACCGTCGTGATACACGCGTCGGATGGTAATTTCCTCAGCACTTCGAAGATCAGTGGTATCGTTCACGTGCTAGATCAGAACGACAACAGTCCTATCTTCGAGCGCGAGCTGTACATTTTCGAGATCAGACCGACGAATTTGGACACCTTGCGCAAAGGTAACGTGGCGCAACCCGGCTGGAAAAGGTTCTCCACCGTGGGCAAAGTCACGGCCAAGGACGCCGACGGAGACAAGGTCGCGTACAAGTTGATCACATCTAGTAGCCTACTGATCGTCGTACCACAGACAGGCGAATTGTTGCTGACCGGCGAACCGGAAGTCAATCCGGAGCAGGATAGCGAATGCGAGTTAATCGTTGAAGCGCACGACCTACACACGCCGAGCCGTAGCACTGAGAAACCGGCCAAGGTTATCGTGAGGTTCCTCACTTCAGAACCAGACGATCCACCGGAAGTGCATCGTATAGAGAAGAGAAGGGTCACTAGAGCAGTGCGACCGACAAAGAAAGTCGACTTCACAGAGGCTGACGGAAATATCGAGGGCAAGATCGCGTTTTATCTAGAGAAGGAAAACGAGAAGGAGACCTATAAGATAAGAGATGAGAACAAGTGGGTCACCGTGGGCGCCAATGGTTCTGTGATGGTCAAACAAAAATGGGACTACGAAGAGTTGGGCCCAGAGAAGACCATTGACTTTTGGGTTACCATTACGAACACAGGTACAGGTACTATCACAAAGAATTTTTCAAATTTTATCTAAATCCTCCGATCTCGATGTCAATTTTTAGCGAATAAATGTTTTTGTATACATTTTGATCAATTTGATTTTATCGTTATGGAGAAAATACATTTTCTGTAAAATATTTATTTTCCATAATTTCGCTTTTAATATTTTATATTATATAATTTCTATAGTAGTATTTAAATACAAATATCTTTTTATAATCTTTATATTGTTTAATTAATTTTTGCTTCGGTATTCTCTGCATGTATAGAGCCGTGCGTGCGATATCCACCCGGTGTCCCGTGCCCATATTATGATGGTAAAATTTTATTTCGATAATTAATGCATAATAATAGTCTCAACTCTGGCACATTTCATGGCCCATTCTTGTTCACACGCTTTTCTTTTCATACTCTATCATTGGGACTCTGTTTAGGGTGCGGTATCTCTCGTTTTATGTAGTTTTGAGCGTGTATAGAAAGAACAATTTTACTGAATCTAAAAACTTAGCTAGATACAGATCTAAAAATAATTTTGTGTTGGACATGAAAATAATTATACAGAACGCTTAAACACTTGATGAAATTGCTGCAAAAAGTTTTAATATTCTAGCAACGAGTTTGAGCGTTCTACATAATTTGGATAGTCCAAACAGAATTATTTTCAAATGTGTGTCTAATTAAATTTTTAAATTTTTACTTCACCAAAATTATTCTTTTTGTACGGGTAAAAGTATTTTAACAAGATAAAAAATATTATATTTTGCAGAAATTTGCGAGATTAAATATATATATGGCAACAAATATTTAAGGATACCTTTTACGTTTTCTTTTTACTCATTTCTAATATTCACATTTTGTCGTGTATCAATTATTTGGAAAATACAAAATATATAATTATATTAATAATAATAATATTTAATAATAATACAAATAATAAGGAATTTATATACTTTATCTACATATTATGAATCAAAATTATGTAATCGTAAATTGTTACAAAATATTTATTGCCGTATCTGTCTGCTGCATCTCAGGAAAAATATTTTCCGCAAGTATATATTACTAATAATAATTGTAACTCTTTTCTTTTCTTGCATCATCGGTTTCCAAAGGATTTCAATGTAAGTATCAATCTCTGTATATATATTTCACCCTATTTTATAATATATTAAACACATAAATCAAACATTACTGTATCTCGTATTGCTTCCAAATTGCACTTTCATGTTTCTCAAAAGACTTTTATAAAAGCGCATTCTTATTGCTCACGCTTTGAGTAGCACTTTAGATATTACAAAATAAATTTCTGTTTATCACTCAGCACTGCTACGAACGCTATTTGTGTACGAAAAACTGGGAATATGTATAATATATGTTTGTATAAAAAAGAAAGAGGAATATTGTTAAATTCTAATTGAATCTCTCTCATTTTGAAAGAAAATAACGACGTACAGGCAATATGAAAGAAACATATACCATGTAATTAAATTTCTTCCAAACAACGTATTTCCTTATAAAATCTAATTTAGTATCTCTCACGTAAAGCATAATAAAAAAATATAACACGATTTACTTTCGTTGTATGGTTAAATACAGATTCGCATTGAGGTCATTAATCTTCAGAGTGTTCCATTAAAAAATAAGCACTGAAAACAGCGTTGCAATAAAGATTAAAATTTCGCAACACGCAAGTGGCGTACCAGCAACGCTGCTCTACATTGTTAATGCATTCGCGTGGCTGTTACGTGTACGCGATAATCGATGTGACGTTATAGATACCGACAATCAGCGCGTCATCATCAACATGAAGGATGTGAATGACGAGCCTCCGTATTTCATTAATCGGCCACTACCGATGCAAACGGTCGTCCAGCTGAACGCACCGCCGAACACTCACGTGTTCACCCTTCAAGCCAGGGATCCTGACACCGACCACAACATCCATTACTTCATCGTACGAGATCGAAGTACGTAATGCCACGAGTAATCGAGATTCGATATTTCGAACATTAACTTGTACGTTCAGCGTGTCGCTGATAATATATATAATAAAGAGCGAGCTTAATCTCGATAAAAAGAAATAAAATGCACGTGGAATACGTAAACTTTCTAGAAAATCGATAATCCATTTAAATAATATTTAAGCAATACTGACGTAAATTGTTTTTGGGTTTATGCTACACTTGAAAAACTGGATCGAAAAGGGAAATAATTTCCAATATCCACACACACACACATATCGTACGTACGTACATACATTAAAACAAAATTTAATAAATCTTTGCTTTAACGATTAATTGATAATTTCACGAAAGAAAAGTTTAATATGAAGATATGTAATTAAAAACATTTTATATGAGATATATTTATATATATAGTCTAATTTCATATCTACGTCCATATTTTATACTGTTTGCCTTATAGATGTATCAATTTTAGATTTGTAAATGTAATAATTATTATAAAGCTCGTTTGTCATAATAATCCAGTTCTATCAATTAACTTTAAAATATTAAATTACATAAAATATTAAATTACATATCACCAAAAAATAATTAATAGAAAAAGTGTTTCCCCAAATACTCTTATAACAAACATTATTATGCATATTTATTATTATACATATAAATTATTGTATTCCACGTGCATTATCTTATTGCAGAGAAAAATTAATTTTCATATCGACAAAAAATATATAAAAATTGCTCTTGATAAATGCTACATTACTAACCAATTAGAAAGAATAATTATCTCGTTTGTACAAGTAAAACATTAATTGAGAATTTGATGCTAAATTTTTCATTAAATGGGAGAATATTCAATTGTCGATTGAACGTTTCATTAATTATAAGAGAAATATATGTCAAATTTAACAAACGCCATATAGGAACGTGTAGAACGATGGCGATACGGCCTAATTATTAATTTACATGCATTGCATCGGCGTAAAATTGTGCATTGTTCTCATTGAAAATGCACCTGATGATTACAACGTCGACCTGGTATCACATTCCGCAATTTATAAGATTATATAGTAATGACGCCATTACGCCGAGTGCTTTCCCTGCACAAATGCTTCGATATCATGAACAATTTTTATTTCACGGTAATATGAAGTACGGAATATGAAGTATAAATCCATTCTGTGTTATTAATGCACGCTGAGTAATTAATAAAGTGACGAACTTAAATGTGATGACATTTAAAATTGACTGTTTTTTTCATTTGCCTCTCTGCAAATGCCCAACTTTAGATTTATGTATGGATTTGTTATTTTAATCAAAATTTAATTTAATTTAAATTCTAATTCTAAATAAATGAAAATTAGAAATCATAATATAATTACAATGCAATTCTAATTACAATGTAATTCTAATCCTAAATTAAAAATAAATACTAGAAATCATAATATAATTAGAATGCAATCAATATTGGTGCATTACAAGATTTTCATTGGTGTAACTAATGGAAATGATATATCCTAACTGATTCCTTTAATTAATTAATTAATTAATTAATCACATTGCACGCAGCTGGCGGTCGCTTTGAGGTCGACGAGAGATCAGGAGTAGTACGTACTCGAGGTACCGACCTCTTCCAGCTGGATATGGAGTATGTCCTTTACGTGAAAGCTGAGGATCAGAACGGCCGTATCGACGAGAGGCGTTTCCAGTCGACTCCTGAGGAGAGACTATCGATCGTCGGTGGAAAACGCGCACCGCAGTTCTATATGACGGCGTACGAGGCCGAGATACCGGAAAACCAGAAGAAAGACTCCGAGTTAGTTCGCAAGTGTATTTCAAGAACGAATTAATTCTTTCAGTTCGTATTTATTGAAAGAGCGGCCTGAATTTTTTTTCAAGATAATGCACAGAAAGAATAATTTTACTAAAGTATCTAAAAATTTAGTTAGATACAAATTTGAAAATAACTTTGTTGGATCGTCAAAATAATTGTGGACACTTGAGTGTTGACAATGCGGCAAAAAATTTTAATATTCTAGCAACCAATTTAGACACAGCCTGCATAATTATTTTGATGGATCGAATAAAATTATTTTCTGATCTATATATAGCTAAATTTTTAGATATTTCAGTAAAACAATTCTTTTCGTTTTGTTTCTATCGTAAATTCTCACTCTCGTTAATTACATAGCGCTTTTCGAGAAAGCTATTTTTTTGTAATAGTGCTTTTCTGTTTATAAAAATATAATTTATATTTATCCTCCATATAATTTATATGCATTCTCCGGAACTGACGATGAGTATTGAGAGAGAACCCATTCAATTATATTTTTTTATACTACATCTACAAATTTGAATTATTATTATTAAAATAAACTTACAATTAGTGTTCACTTACATATTTCCTTTTTTATATAAATTATACTGAAAGAAATGTTTCATGTAAATAACTATAATTTTTTATATAAAGGTATAATTATTCATACACAACATTTCTCTCAATGTTATTTTGGTTCCTTGGAATTAATTAATGCCTTTTCACAACATAAATTAAATGAATTTCACAGACCTAGCGTCAGCAACTATGTTGTTATAGATTTTGACGTCAGCTCCAAAGAAATAAAAATAAGTGTTACAAGAAATATAAAATATTTGATCTTTCTTTCTAAAATTAGCCTGTTTACGGGATATAAGTAAATTTCTGTTTTGTTTGCTATTTTTATAATTATTTTTCCATGTCCAGTTTGTTATAACATTCTTTATTTGCTCTCAATGACATTATTTGTATAAGATTACTTGCATAAATATCGAAACTTTTTTGTTTGTCTTCGAGTTAGTTGACTTTTCGAAGTTTGATCTAAATTCGACCGAGTTGCGTGACAAATAATAATCAAGACTTCTCGAACTTTTTTTTTCATATCATGACTCTATTTTTTCTAATCTATCAAACCCGCGGGGAATATGAGTGTCACATGTTCAAACTTTTCAGTATAATATCGGTGAAAGCCAAGTCATTCGCCGATCGAGAGATACGCTACACGCTGAAAGCACAAGGTCAAGGAGCCGCGGGTACATTCAACATCGGTCCGACTTCTGGAATTGTAAAACTTGCGAAAGAACTAGATTTTGAGGATCTACGGCAGCCCCACATTTACTCTCTGATAGTGACGGCCACGGAGGACTCTGGCGGTTTCTCAACATCAGTCGAGGTAACTCAATTTATGTTTCTTTCGAACTTTGTTGTGTTTTCACGAAGAATAACAATCCTTTCCCTCGGAAAAATATAGCACACGCCGCAAAATCTGCATACAAACATGATAACACACAATCATGTCTCTTTACTTGTTGATTATTTTAAACTAAATGTCGAATTAATGTTTCACCGTTATAACCTTGTCTTACGATTTTTTATTCTATTTTCAGCTAACAATTCGAGTATCGGATGTAAATGATAATGCTCCTAAATTTGAGTTGCCGGATTATCAAGCTCACAACGTCGATGAGGATATTCCGTTGGGCACGAATATACTGAAAGTTAAAGCAACTGACGCCGATTCAGGAGCAAACGCGGAAATAGAATATTTAGTATCCGACGATCACTTCAGTGTGGATTCAAATGGTATTATTGTCAATAATAAACAGCTCGATGCAGACAACAATAATGCCTATTACGAATTCATCGTTACTGCTAAGGATAAAGGTAAGTCATTTGAAAGAATAAATATGCTTGAATTATAGCGTAACTAATTGTAAAAATATATACGTTTTGGCTTAACAGTAGAAATAAGTACCAACGTTTCTTACTCATTAAAGACCAAGAGAATAAATTACTATTAAAAAAGTGATGAGAGAGAGAGAGAGAGAAATAAAATATTTTGACATGAAGGACATAATTATTAAAAATTTTAAAAATTTTTAAATCTTATTTTTTACATACAAAATACAATATTAATATAAAAAAATAGAAATAGTCCATAATGAACGGCACTTTTAAGTGTTAATCGACCCATTTTTGTTTCTTTTTCATTCGCGATTAATCGAATCTAATGTATACACATTGTAACTTGTTATTTTTATTGCATTTCATTGGATCACATCCGTGGATGATTATTAAAATTCTTCTCTCAGCCTCGCTTTAAGAAATTCAAATATCGTGAAATCATTGCTCGTGCCATCCGGCGATTTGGTCACGTAGAAATCGGCCTTTATAGCGTTCCGTCAGCAAGCTGAGGATCAGTTTGAGCGGCTAAATCTCACGGATTTGGTTTTCAAACGAGCTTCAAATTCTCGTCTCGCGTCGCACGGGCGCGAGATAAAGCTCACATCTGTAGACGCGAATTCGCGTTATTTGCATATATGTATACAGTGAGAATGCGAGGTGGTTTTCAAACAAGTCGTGGCTTAATTGAAAATAAAGCGGCCGAATTGGCACGAATAACACATGCGCTTTTATTTATTGCGCATCCATGAATGCATTTCATATCGGAAAATTTGACGTCGCAGTAAATATTTCTTGATATGCGTATCACATCCTGAATTCAATTATTTAAGTTACTATGTTGCGATTCGTATCATTTAAATCAATATATTGTTATGTTCGCGATTTGCGTATCGTTTTAAATATATTAAAAAGTTACGTATATCTCTTGATTAAGCCTACACGTATCTATAATACGTGTGCTTTGTGTCCTAATTTGGTTTTTAATTGTTTTTTTATACTTCTTGCCTATTTACTTTTTCTTCTGTTTCTTTATTTTCTGAGATAAAAGTTGACAAACTTTTTGGAAGAGACAAGAAATACGATTGTCGATTCTTCTAAAGAAAGAAAATCGTAAGACAAAAGAAAAAAGCAAAAGACAGTGAGAAAAGAGCACATTGTAGATTAGGCTTTACACTTACGTTATTCTGCAAATGTCGCACTATTGTTAATTAAGAACTTAGTTCCGCCAGAGACGCAAGTGTTTAATAAATCATTAAACGACCGTGCTTTTCAGGCGAACCATCAAAGACCGGCACGGCGACAGTGCGGATATACACAAAAAATAAAAACGATGAAGAGCCAAAGTTCTCCCAGCAGGTTTACACGCCTAACGTCGACGAGAACGCCGGACCGAACACTCTGGTCACCACCGTGGTAGCTTCTGACAAGGACGGCGATAACGTGAGGTTCCGATTTGTCGGCGGGAACACCACGTCGGGACAATTCGTAATTGAAGAGATCACGGGTGTGATCCGTCTTCACGGGAAAGAGATCTCTTTGGATCGGGACAAATACGAGCTAAACGTCACTGCCTTGGACGACGGCGCGTGTTGTCCAAATGGCGATAAAACCATTCACACTAGCACCGCGGTCGTCGTTGTCTTTATAACTGACGTGAACGATAATAAACCGGTCTTCAAGGATTGCGGGATGTATTATCCGAAGGTGGAGGAAGGTGCGCCAAATGGTAGCACAGTTATCAAGGTACAGGCGACTGACGAAGATAAGGGTGTCAACGGACAAGTCAAGTATTCGATCGTGCAACAACCTAATCAGAAGGGCACAAAGTTTACCGTTGACGAAGAAACTGGCCAGGTTTTGACCAATAAGGTACAATTTTAATAATCCTCTTTTTCATAGTACTCTTTTTACTCATGAAATTTTAATAAATATTTATATTTAATATTACATTTTTCGACACTTTATATATTTCTACGGATTCTACGTTTTAATTTTGATCACTGCATTTTCATTTTAATATAGTTACGCAAAACGTACAAGTTTAATTCCGAATTTTACGTTTGACCTGAAGTAACGTTTGATAAAGCCATAAAATTGCGTTGACTATATCAGAATGTATCAGCTTTAAAAGATAATACGAATGCAATTCGCGTTGGAGAGTGCATTTAGTATTCTGAACACATTAAAAAACATCTAACAATCGTTAACTCTAGCTCTACTTTTCCATCTTTTGTACGTATCGTAGACCGAACGATAAGCATGCAAGGCACTTAATTCTAATTGCTGTTCGTGCCGCGAATCCATAAAGATTTCTAACAAACAGATATTGCAATAATATATCTACTTGTAAGTCATTTTTATACATTTCTATTATTTTTCGCTTATTATGGCTATTTCATTATTTACACTTTTGTTGAATATTTATAAAAATTTAGATATACATAAACAGATATGAAAATAATTTTATTGGACAATCAAAACAATTATATAGGAAACTCATGATAATCAATACTGCAAAAACGGTTTAGCAACCAGCAAGCGCAACCATTCTTTCTATGTATCAAAAATAATAGAGAATATATACCTATATACATTCTGTTAATTATATTATTAAATGTGAACAGGAAATTCTGGAATAAAGTTTGTGCTCCTCTAAAAATGCAATAAAACTTGATCAGTTGTTGATTTAATCATATAATTTACTATAACAGCAATTTTTTCTATAATTTCTGTTCTATCGTGACAATTTTTTAAATTTCATATTGCAAACTGCTCGTAGAGCGTTTGTACGATATTGTAAATATTCAGATTTCGTTATGTATTTGCATTTAGTAACAAACACAACTGTTCTAGGTGTTTGACCGCGAAGGCGACGATGGAAAATTTGTATCCGTCACCGTTAAGGCGACGGATCAGGGTGAACCCTCGTTGGAAGGTGTTTGCTCATTTACCGTCGAAATAACGGATGTGAACGACAACCCGCCGTTGTTTGACCGACAGGTGGGTACACTTTACCTCAAGCTAAGCATTTAGGAAGCCATACGGGTTAGAAACGCTGCAGCAGATGTCCGGAAGTAAGACTGAGCGTGACGAAGCCACCATCGGTGCGTTATACATCGATGCATGTAACTCAAGAATATTCGCGAAGTAACTTTGGACTAGTTTTATCGCGTTTACTCGATCAAAGTACATACATTCTGCCCTACATCAATTTTAATACGTACAGAGAATTTGTACAGTGAACGGAGAACAAGTCCATAATTTGTTAAGTCCACAACACGAAGCCGTATCTAAAGTGGATCTCGTAAATTATGGACTCGGCTCATTTCTATTTTCAACACGCTCGTTACGTGAATATCTGAGAAGAATTTGAGTTACCTACCATATTTTCTTAGTCAATAAAATCTATATTAAGTAAAAAAGAAAATGCTTCGTGAGAGATGACTATTGTTTAATATTCCGGAGCTAACGCAAAAATCTATATAACACAGTTACTGATGGATCTGACTCACTTAATTTACATTAATTGAAAGGTATTATTAACGGAAATTAATAAAATGTCATAATTTGTATAAAAAGAAATAAATATATTTAACTAGGGTAATCCTAATTTACAGATATAACATAAAGAAAATTGAATTGTTTAATATTTTGGCAAAGAAATTTATAATTGAATACTAAGTACACTTTAATAAGAATAATTTAAGTTTGTAAATGTGTAATCTAAAAAAAATTGAATTGCTTGACATTTTTGACAAAGAGATTTGTAATTAAGTGGGGCTCAATAGATGTCCGCTCCACAAGGAGTTAATTAATTTTGAAACTGAATATTTTATAATTTTCGATCTTAAGTAACTATATCGTGTATTTGTATTTTATAAAAACGTAATTAAATATCTCTAAAAATATCGAATTGACGTATCAAATTTTGTCCTTTCGCAGAGGTATGTGGAAAACGTGAAGCAGGACGCGAGCATTGGAACAAACATATTAAGAGTGTCGGCATCCGACGAGGATGCTGACAACAACGGTGCAATCGTGTACTCGCTGAGCTCACCCAACAACGAGCAGAATCTGGAATACTTTGAGATCCAACCAGAATCTGGTTGGATCGTATTAAAGAAACCCCTAGACGTGAGTATCCTCATTAAATCGCTGATCTACATATCGTCTCTCTTTAGCAGTATGGACAGCATCGTTTTCCTGGAACACACCCACTTTTTCGTGGGCGAGGCTTGCAATTTTTCTTTGCGGCTTGCCAGCTTCTTTTGCTCTCAGATATACACTGGATACCACGGGAAACGAAAGTCTCAGCAATATAAGCCATCCCGCGATGTTGACAACGCGCGAAATAATGTTTGGTGCTTTAACTAAATATATTTAATAATATTCGCGACATTTTCGAGAATGATATCCTGCGGATTCTGCTCGTCCCGAACAAGTGTCGCGTGTCCCAGGAATATGTAGGCTACATACGTAGTATATTATATCTATTTATATATACATATATACGTATATATATATATATGATCTCGTATAAATATAAAACTTGAGTGTACACCTTCTGCCGATATATTGTACGTTTGCGTTGACTTACGTTATATTTAACACGAATCCGTTTTGTTGCTGAGCGGATAAACTTGTATACTAATATATACGTTTGGTCGGCAATTATTTCTCTCATCACTAATATGCAACGAAATGAGTTTCCTTTTTACGGCACATGTATAGAACTTTTTAATTCCCATTGATATGCACAATGTGTTCACTATGGTAAATACTTAGCTATGCCTGATTTCCTCAAACGCTTCATGTACCTGAATCGATCGACCGTTCGGGCTATTTTTGCAACAAAACACTCTCTCTCTGTCTCTCTCATTCTCTCTATTGAGAACATACTCGCGGCGCGAGTACCTTTTTAAATGATTCCAAACGAAGCCTCTTGTCCAGTTTTTTCATTCACTTTTCATCGAAAATCGGTCGTCGAGTTATGTATGAGCGGTCGAAAAAAAAAAAAAGAAAAAAAAAATAACGCGCGCGTACATACTTTTTCTTTTCCGTCCTTCTTTTTCTCTTCACTTCATTTCTTTTGTTCGCCGTTCGTTTTGCCCGCGTTTTCCGGTTTTATTCCGCGATGCCAGTCATGATTTTCGATCAATTTGGCGAATTGCAAAATGTCGACCCGTGTAATTTTGCAAAAAAAAAAAAAAACAAAAAAAAAAGACGCGTGCGGATCGGCCCGTACGTGCGTGTGCACGGCCAACCGAACGCGAACGTGTGCACTTTTCATACTTTTCCCAAAAGTAGCCAAGAAAAGGATATGTGTGATTTTTGTACGTGTTACGCGTTGTGGAGAAACGGGAAAAAAATGGAAAGGAAAGATGCAAAACAATGATAAGAGACATGACAAAAGAGATGGAAACGTTCGGAGGAAACTAATGATCTTTAATTAATCAACTAACATTATTAATTGTGAATGTTTTTCAAAAGGGAAGTGATGTTTTTTGAACTTCCAGGAGCAGGTGGGAACAACATTTTTTGAGCCCCACGTACGGTGTACTTCAACCTCTACGCATTTTGTGGTGCATCAGACATAAACAATTTTTGACAATGCTTGCATATTTTATATGAATGTGTTTTTGATTCCTTTACAGGAACGGATCTCGCTCTCGCTCCTACATCCATCCTCGCCTTTTCTCTCTCTCTCTCTCTCTCTCATTATCTTTATCTACATCTTATGTCTATCTCTAATTTCTGATTATCATTATCTTTTTTCCTTTTTGTACAAAAAATATTTTTCAGTATGTTGCATTTTGTTGTAATGTCGATGATCGAATTACTTTTCCTGAATATTTTGCCTGCTATGATTATTTTTATAAGTTTGATAAGTTGTTCTATCTATTTTAATTGATTTGTGTATGTTATAGACGAAGCCTGGGTTCCTTGTTTTAATTACTATTTCTTTTAGTTACATAACAAAATAGTTTATATTTCATATCTTTCTTTACGTTTTTCGCTCTTCCTACTTCTTTTCTCTCTTTCTCTAACATATACTTTCTTTCTCTGACGTTTCCCGATTTTCATTCCCACTCTCCCGGTGTACCACGACGTGACTGACAAAGAAAAGGAAAAGAACATGAAAAGTATTTTTGATTGAGAGCGTTTACCAATGTATAGATATGTGTACATATGTATAGATCATAAGAGAACTGTCCGTGGTGTGACATTTTTTCTTCTGTGATTGGGGCGGCATACCACTGTCGTGAAAACGGGAAGAATGAAAGTGAACGGAAGTAATCACGGAATGAAAGGAAAGCCGAAAACGTGCGGATTAACTATCACGACGATCAGAAATAACGTCCATCGGTTTTTGAGTGTCGTTAACGAAAAATAATCAGACGAGGGGTCGTCATAATTTTTTTTTCTCCCCGTCTTAACTCTCTCTCCCCCGAAAACCTTCCAACCTCTGTCACCACGATCTCTCTATACATCCCGCCCTTTCTTCTCCCTTCCTCGTCTCCCGATGCCTCTTTATCGCATTCTCGCTTGCATGAAAATGCCTGCATTGGTTGATTTCGTAAAGAAACTAATTTGAACTTCTTATTGTTTATGTTTGTGTTCATTGCACCATTTACTTTCTTCGGATTTGATGATGACAAAAAAAAAGGGCTGTTTTCCAGTAAGTAGGATCTATATTCTTGTGTTTCACACCTTGCATCGAGACACATCATGATGTGACCATTGTTATACCAGCGCAAAAGAAAAGTATAATATTCGTTGCTAATACTAGAGCGCCTTTCCGTTCGATTATTCAACATTCTATCGTTTCGATGATTTTTCGCCTCTGTTGTTATCGTTGTCACTCGGAGACGTCACTCTCTTTTTCTCTTTCTCTTTCTCTCTCTCTCTCTCTCTCTCTCTCTCTCTCTCTCTCTCTATTTCTATCTGTCTATTCTGCTCTATTCTTTTTCTCTTCTTGTTACTCAATTTCTACTAAATATTTTTATATCTAATCATTTCTTTTCGAGCATTTCTCGAAACTCTTTGTATCACGCGCGATGTATTTTTTATGTACATACACACGTGCTGTCTATTTTCGCTCTTTCATCCTGGTCTCGTATGTATTCGTAGGTGAAGGATGCCTTTATTGTGCTGATCTGCGCCACCAGTGATCTGCCAATTTGTCCGCGGTGAATATCCAATGGACGTTTTCACAAAACTTTAATATAAACAGCTAGGATATCCTTCTCTATATTAAATTTTCTTTTACATATTGAATTTAGAAAAATGTCATCTTCCCTTAAATTATTTAAAAATGGAAGAATTAAAAAATTATATTATTTTATGTTAAAAAAATTGACATTTTGATGCTAGCTTTAATGTAAAAATTCTCGAGTACATTGATCTTTTTAATTAAAATAAATTTATTATTACACAAATTTAGAGTTATAATTAAATTAATTTTTAATACTGTAATAAATTTTTTTTAAATTTAATTGTGCACTACATACGATCTGCTTCGCTACAATCACATAAGGATGAGTTTTTATTTATTACTTTATGTTAGCTTGTAATGGCACCATTTGTGATCGTATTTCACATAACAGCACTTTTTAAGATATTAATCAGCGTATTTATTATAATGAAATTATGATTAAAATGTAGATATTTTATTTGTGATATATTTAATTAAACCGTCCGTTGGATATTGACTATTGTCCAGGGATCTAGTTCCATTTTACTGGAACAGCTTCAATAATTACTTTTAATGTTCCAGGAAGAGTGCTGATATAGTTTTCGTTACTAGAAATCTTATGAGATAGCAAGATCCCGATTATAGACAAATGTTCGCAAACAAATGTTCATTGGGAGACGAAGGATGCCGATTGTATGATCGGTTTCCAAATAATTGTTATGATGCGGCGCTTTTATTAACATAAATCGCAATGTCGATGTTTACGACCAGCGGGTGAATAGAGAGAGAATGTAGAAGAGAATTTTACATTAAAGTATTAAGATTAAGCATTGAAAATTAAATTTTCACTTAGTTGTTCAATTCAATTTAATTCCATTAATTTTTCTAGATTATTACATCTTCATTTATTACATTTTTCACGATATGCAAGTTTTTAATATAACTTTTAATATTTGTAATTTTAATATTTATCTTCTATTACTATTCACCCGCTATTGCACTTTATTTTACTAGATAGTTTAGAAATATCTGCTACTTTTTAAATATAGATTCTCTGATGCTTGTAGACACTCTACAAAAAATTTGTATTATTTAAAGACAAAGTGACATTCAAATTAGGTACATAGTGAGGTGCGAAAAATCTTGTTGTTTCTCAAGGAAAATTTTACTTTAACATTTTAGAATCTAGAATCTTAGAATCTAACATTACATAATTATCAAATATAAGGGATTTGATAAAAGTAGGATAAAATATTAACTTAATTTAAGATAAAATATATTTAATCGAAGAATCTATAGATAGAAGGAAGCAATTCTAAAACATTTAGTATACCTTCCGCTTTCGTGTTATCTCGGATAAGCACAATATTTCTCTAATGCAATCAACTAGTCATCTAGTATTCAATGATTTTTTAAAATGCATTTTTTCATTAAAAAGATTTTTTAATTTAATATTTACGATATATTATGTTATGCAATTATCAAATATCTTTGTTGACATAAAATCAAATTAAATCAAATAACATCACATTAATAAAAGTGTTTGCATTAATAAACTAATACAATCAGTACAGCAATGAGCTCAAATATGCAAGCGTGTGCATTTGACAGGTAGGTATCATCTATACTAACTACATCGTCTACATTTGTCTACAATCTTCGTAATCTACTTTTAATTAAATTTTATTTAATTAAATTGATTTTATTTAATTAAAATTAATTACGCTAAATATCTATACCGATGTTGTCATTGCTTTGTTAACCAACAGAAGTCGGCGATGTAGTATTTTCGTTATTATCATTACGATCACAATCATTATCATTATCATCATCATCATCATCATCATCATCATCATCATCATCATCATGATTTTCATCATCACATCACGCTACTGTAGGTTTGTAATTACTTACAAAAGAACTATCTCACAGCATGTTTGAGTTCATTGCAGTAAACCTTGTTCTTATACAAGCAATGCACTTGTATTAAATTGAGCAAAAATTATTAGGGAAATTAATGGATTTGTACGTTAGAAAGGCAGTAAATCTATCACCGAGGTAATACGCAGCGGAGTCACCCATGTCCACCAGGATACCTACGAGACTGCACGGTCCTTTATCTCTCTGTTTTTCTTTCTATCTATCTTTTCTATCTGTTCGTCTTTCTCTCTCTTCTTCTTCCGTTTCAATTTCACTCGCGAATAAAAAGAAGAAAGACCGTCGAGGGTACTTTCTCATATGGACGCGCTCGACGCCGAGTGACGTAGCCTTTAGCTCTTTCGTAAACTCCAACGGAAAAGAAACGAATAAAAAAAAAAAAAACGAAAGAAAAGAAAAGTAAAAAGAGTGACGAAACGGAAAACAAAATCGCAAAAACAAAAAAAAACCGCCAACTATAAAATCCCGAAAGAAAATGTCCTATAAGTTGACGGCCCAATGTTTTGCCACTAGCGTGACAGCTATCGCCTGCGAGTACGGGCCTCCGACAGAGGGATGCCAGTCTTGTCCGCAGACGTGGACGTTGAGTTAGACGTCGTAGACAGAAACAATAAACCACCTGTGTGGGATGCGAATGTATACGGCCCCATTCACATCAAAGAAAATGTCACAGTGGGTACTGTAGTGACGTCGGTGAAAGCCAGGTTTGTATGCCACGACATGACCGAGACAAGACACGTGACATGCCGTGCCATGCCATGCAGTGCTATCCCTCCTATCTCTCTTTTTCTCACTCACTCTCTCTCTCTCTTTGATCTGTTGACCACCCCTAACTTATTTTATCTCTTCCTCTTTTTGTTTCTTCCCCATTCAATTACTTACGTATTGTATTTGTCTTTCTGTCCCATTGATTTCCTTTATGCACTTGGATTTACTCTCTGATACACTCTGGATTACTCTCCGAATTCTCTTTTTACCTCCGTCCTATTCTCTTACCGACCCTATCACAACGTTCAATCTCTATTTTGTTCATTTCCTTTTTACCTATTTCTCTCTTTGGACAAACTCTTTTTACAGAACATACCGTCTTTGTTCCTATTTTTGGTTGTGGAAGCACTTATGGTTAAGCGCGGCGCGGTAGATCGCTGATTGGCGGACACTCCTTCTCCTATTACTACAACAACTACTATTACTATACTGCTATCACTATCTTTTCCCAATATGTACTGTAGCGAGCCGCGGTGGTCGCTCTTCGACGATATTTGAAGGCAGCGAGGATTCAATCGGGCAGAAATCACTCGGAAATAATCGAGTCTTTTAATTTCTAAGTGAAGTAAGTTTTAAATATCATATATAAAGGATAATTGTAACTTTTCTTAACTGATTACATCACATTACAATTTTCGAATGGCTGTACAGTTTTCTTAGCATTTTTTTTGTAAAATGGAAAATTTATGAAACTACATATATTCTGATTTATATATTATAATTTTTCTCAATTTATTGACATGGATACTACCGTAGAGAAATCTCTATCTTCAAATTGATCTTGAAGTACCACATAATCAAGCCTTCTTGTTTTCTAGCTGAATTTATAACAGATAATTACAGGACTGTTGCAAATTGCATCAAACGATCTGTAGAAATCTCTCTTACCACTGTATTAACAGGTTTATTTCATAATTCTAAACTTACTTTACTTGAAAATTGAACAGGCTCTCGACAAATCACTCGACAAGGAGTGACAAGAACCAAAGCTCCTTCAAAGACTCCGAAGACGCAGCGACCAGCACGCGGATCATAGCGAATATACGCAATAACAACCACAATTGTGCAAATGCGGAAAGGCGGAGCGGTGATCCACAGACGTTTCTAGCGTGCTCATATAGGCTTTAAGCAAGGATGATAGCGAGAGAACCTGCTGTGCCTTTGCGATATTCTCGCGCAGAAAATACAGGTTGCGGATCGTCGATCGTCCATCACGCCGCTCGTCACCCGGAGCTCGTACTGTTCGAGAACCACGTTACCACGCATCGCAATCGCGATTGCGGGCGCTTTTGCTATAATCTCACCGAACGTGCAAATTTGGCACGAGGGTGCGTGCATAATGCGAGCTCGCGCTCGCGCCAAAACCTTCCAGGCGTTGGCGGCTAACCGAAGCGGGGCGTCCCCGCGAGTGACTGCCCAGCGGACGCAAGGGAGAGAGAAGCTTCTTCCCCTCCTCTCTCGAAAAGAAACAACGGGGAGCAACATGTACCATGCACTCTCCCCCCTGCCACGGGCCTTGGCGCCTTGACACTAACGCCGTTGTTTTTTGTTCCCGTTTGTTATACACGCGGTCTGGCCGTAGCGCGAGACGTACAAGCTGGAGGCGATGGCCAAAGACAGGGGCTACCCACCCTTGTCGCGAACGGTGGAGGTTCAGATTGACGTTGTGGACCGTGCGAATAATCCGCCCGTATGGGACCACGTAGTGTATGGCCCGATCTACATTAAAGAGAACATGGCCGTCGGGGCTAAAGTTGTGTCTATTAAAGCCAGGTCTGTCACACTGTCAATGCTCCGTGCGGCTCTCTGCACGAACCCGCCCTGCACGCAATCTCGTGGCAGTATTGTTCTTGTGCACGTTAATTGATATTGTGTACGAATCCACATTACACGCATTCTCAAACACACATTCATACACACAACACACGTGTCATGACACTCGCAGAGGCGGCGCGCGCCACTAACTCGCTCGCTCGCTCGCTCGCAAGCATACGCAGTATACACTTATGTTCGCATATAGGGTTGACTCGTGGAAGACACGGATCGGAATCGAGTGTATAGGGGACGTACGATCGAGGATCGTGGAGAATATTGGAGGATCAGGACGATCCTCGGCGCAGGACGTGGACGTTAAAGCGATGGTTCTTGGCGGATCGAGAAACTTCCGGAGGGAACGGATTAGCGAGAGACAGTTCGTAACGTAAAGAAAGTTCAAATATCGGGGTATTTCGATTTTAAGAGAATTCTAAGACAAGTAACAAACAACACTTACTTTCGAGGAGAATGAAATGACGGTAAAAATTAACAAAATCATTTCTGTAGATATCCGAAAATAATTAGATTTATATATTGACTACCGCGAATATATCAAGAGCAATTAAAATCTTTGGCTATATACTCTCTTCAAGATAGGTAACTCAACTAAATTCCACTTTGCGAATTCTAGATTCCCTTTCTGGGAAACACTGCGTAGGAACCATCGCTTCAGATTCGGAGTCACTGTTGTTCGAGTCTTTTGCATTTATACAAACACGCGTATTCAAACGGGCCAGGACACACCAATGTATGCATATTTATAGGCGTGGTGCACGTATATATGTAACTGTTCGCGAGATATCGGCTTCGTTAGCGTTGGCGTTTTATCTTTTTCGGCTTAAACGTGAACGCACTTGCGAACAATGCGATTATGTAGACTCCGCTAAGCGGATTATGTTCTTGAAACATTTTGCTGCATCTCAACACGCAGATATGAAGCTATTTTCATCGTTTCACGAGTGCTTTAATCAATTCCGCGCAGCGAGATTTAATTTCTTCCTACCACGACGTCAGTAAGACGTCTCTCCCGTGTAAACTAAATTGAATAAACGACATAACCGCTTTTCATCTGTAGACCGTAATTTATGGGAATATAAGAAACGGTTTGAGAACCGAGGAAGAGCCGTGTCGAGTATCTTGGCGCGTTTATCACTAAAGTGCATTTCTCTGAACAAAGCGCAAAATCCTATTATTGCATAATAATCGACACAAGTAGAGCCATGTTATTATCACAACGGTAAATAATACTTATTCGTCGCTTACACTGAAAAAAAATTTATTAAATCTTGATACAAATTTTCTGAATAGTACTAAGTAAACATTTACTTACAGTAAATAAATATTTATTTTAAAAAATGATAGTTAAATCAATGTAATGGTTCTTATATCAAATATATACTATATATGTTTACATTTAGTAAGTATTTACTTTGAATTATTCAAATGCTTATTAAAATTTAGTAATTATTTTTCAGTGTATTATTGCATGAAGATTATTGTTAACTCGCATGAACAAGAAGAGCAAATACAATAGTTTTGCAAATCATGAGATATCGATTGCATTAATAGAATGTATTTAGTAACTTATGATCAAAAAAAGATTAGAAAAAATATTATATCGTAATACAATTAGTATTATAACTTTTATGATCAGTTTCTTAGATACATGTATATTGTTTTACATCATATATCATATTTATTGTTTCATAAAGATTAAAGAAAATATTTTATATCTTACTCCAAAAGATCCCGTATTGTACGAAAAATTTGGTCCTCGTGAAATAAAACAGTTTTTACATATAAAGTAGTTTGTAATGTGGTGAACAAAGATGTCATAGACACAAGACTCAGTAATATAATGGATAATTTCTGAAAATATATGATGTCAAAGATAAAAATTTGTGCCAACAGCGCACTTTTGATACATCATAGCTAAAAAATTATCTATTATTGAGCCTTGTGTGACGTGCCTATATCTTTTGTTCATATAAGTTACATTACATGTGAAAACCAACTCATTTCACCGAGATGCAATTTTGCATATAATTAGTGTGAGGTCCTTTCGTAATATATGACTTTGCAAAAAATATAGCGAATAAGTCATGTCGGATTGCGTGATAGCCAGTTGGTGGAAAAATATAGCTGACTGGTGCAAATGCGTCTTTTTGTAGCGGGATACCAAAAGCCGTGTCGAAAAAACGTTAGTAATGGGTTTGCGCTTGACGTACCGCTTTTAACGGCGGTCTCTCGCGGAGACACATGGACTTCCGGCGAAAACGTATTGGCTAATTACATACGTACACGCGAGAAGTGCCAGATGCAACGGTCACGCGTTGTCGGTGGAAGATAATACATTTTATTGTAAATTCAGTATACCATATGAGCTCTGTACTATGTGTCACGCAAATATTCCGCTTATCTCGTTTGAACACGCGCCAATTCGATTCTTCGCGAGTATATTAGCAAGAAACAATGTCAATGCATAATCGGAAGTGCAAAGCTATAATTTGATTTGAATTTATAAAGAGAGCACGCATTGCATGGCGTAAATTATATCCTTTGTACACGGAAAGAACGATTTTGCTGAAGTATCTGAAAATTTAACTAAATATACAATATAACTAAAAATAATTTTGTTGAACCTTCAAAATAATTATGTAGGAGGCTCAAACTGGTTGCTAGAATATCAAATTTTTGGCAACATGGCCAACAGCAGCATTTTTGCTTATTATTCTTGAGTTTCCTATATAATTATTTTGATAGTCTAACAAATTATTTTTAAATCTAGCTAAAGTTTCAGATATTTCATCAAAATCTTTTTTTTTTTTATATTTCTTATTAATTCTCTTATAATTCTATAATTCTTGTTTAGAATTTCCTGATTATTATTTTTTACGTATTTCTTTTATAAGAGAATAATATATTATTATAGTGTATCATATATTATATCTTAATTTAACAAAAATTAATAATTTCTACGTAATATTTGGATTAAATTCTGCAATTTAAAAAAAAATGTCTATTTTATATCACAATTTTTTAATAGAATTTCTTTGCTTAATATTTTTAGTATAATAAATATTCGTATTGAACTAGATCTCGCCGAATTTATGCATTCACGCGCGACGTACTGACGGGTACCACAAATTCCACACACCGGGCTGTTAGTAACGTTAGTGACATTTCGGAGGATTAATTCCGGAGAGTTTACTCGTTAGGGCCTCGCTTTAATGGCAACTGGAAAGGGATGCAGCAAAACGTTTCGTCATTCGCGTTTAGTCCGCCATTTTCCGCGAACTTTCCCCATCAACGTTGTGCCACGCAGACGAGCCTCAATGCAAAGATGTCATCAGCTATAATTATTACACACACACTAAAATATTAACCGCCGATAGTCCGCTTCTCTTATCGGGAATTCGCGGTTCAGCAAGAAACGCATTAACATTAATTCGTGCCACACAGCGTGTTAAGCCGCAGCGTTAACGAGCGATGGGTGTTTAAGTCACGTGTTTGTTTCTGCGCTGCGATTCAATAGCGTATATTGTATACTACAGTAATTTGCCAGCTATTTTGTCACCACGACGAACTTTCGCGCCCGGAATTAGACGCAGAACTTTCTGTCTCTCTCTCTATCTATCTATCTATCTATCTTTCATACATTTGTTGTGTGTGCCGTAAACATATTTTTGGGCATGTTTTACGAATAGATGCTTCCCTGGATTATATATTATTAATTTTGACCAAACCGTTGTCGTTTTCTTATTTCTCTCTCATCATAATTTATCATGCGTGCCTCGTTTGTTACTTCCTCCGTTTGAGTTATATCTTCGTTCTTTTCGCACCGGATTGGCTTTTTTCAAAATTTACTTTGGTCTCGTTTTCGTTATGTGTGCTCGTTTTGAGATTCCATCACCTGTACGGTGATTCAGTTAAGTATTACAGCTGCGGCCGCAAATAACTGAGCAGTTTATTAATTTTCGTTGATCCCTCCCCCACCCGATGCCTGACTTCGCAGTCGCAGTCGAACGTATTACCCAAGTATGTCATATGTACATACATATTTCATTTTTATTCCTCCTTGGTTCTCATCAATTTGTCCGTTATCGCTATCGATTCACATCTTAGTTCGTCGCCAGGACATGCATACTCATTCAATATCCAATCATCGACATACGTTTCATGAATGCCGTAATTAATTTTTGGGCATGTTTCGTCAGTTGCTTACCTTACGTTAGGTTACGACGTGTAATCACGTTTTTCTAATTTCTTTGGTTTTTTTTCCTTTTTTTTTCTTTGCCCCTTTATTCTTCGAGAGCGTAGTGTGTTCTCGTAGTGTCTTTTTGTCGGCGAGACCTTGTACGCCGTTCGACAGCAAGTTGAGTAACGATTTAGATTGAAGTTGATGAACATAGTTAGAACATCTTTGATTGCTGAAGTCACCGTCTTGTATCACGTCGGACAGTATAGTAGTGATTATACATATATATTTCTCTCCAATTAAAATTGAGCGAGCAAGAGCATTTGCTAATTGACCTGCGCCGCTACGTGACGCTCGCGGATCGAAACGTATCGGACAGGCGAGAAATTTTATCTCTATTCTTCTCTTTATCGAAAGAGAGAAGCATTATGGATTCACGAAACTCGAAATGAAAAACGGTATTATCGATTTCCCACATCTCTCTCTCTCTCTCTCTCTCTCTCTATCTATCTTTCTCTCTCTCTCTCTCTCTCTCTCTCTCTGGCAAGTGAGCTGACATAAATTTTTCCAATACGATTTTATCGTAACAGGAAAACATTTCTTTTGAAAACACGGGAATGTTGTCACAAAACAAATATCGCCATCTGTTACATTTTCATATCTAATTGTATATGTATGTTACATGGAATATATGTATTGACAAAAATTCTATAACGCCTATAAAGTTCTATAATAATGAAAATTTCGACGGAGATAAAATTGTAATTGGAATTATTTAATAATATGTGCTCACATATTCGTAAAATCACACGGTACACATACGTACATATACACAGACATACACTTGCATCGTCACCGCGCACCAATGGTTCAAGGGTGGTTTATGCACAATTTGGGGTTGTACGGTTTTCTAACTTTGTCCTTTTTATCATAACTTAATAACACGTATCACTCTGTGCGACAGTCTTACTTCTACAAGCTCGCTTACCGCCCACATACTTAACGTAGTTGTACAACATGTGCGTGCACACACTCACACACTCACAATATGCAAACTTTCGGAACTAAGAATCACGCTTATGAGCTGTATTATCATACTAACCGAGAGTATACGGTATATACACAACT